TTTCAAAATAAAATATTTGTAAGAAAATTAATAACACTTTGGAGATCAAAGGCTCAAATAGACGGCGATTAATTTAATTTCTCGGTAGAATATCATTTAGATAGGATATCATTTATCGTATCAGTGTTCTTTTAAATCGTTTTTAACTGTCCTTGACTGTGTAGTTTTTGTCTCCTTATATTAGTTCGCGACAACGTTTAATTCAATTTCTCGATAGAATATCGTTTAGATAGGATATCATTGATCGTATCTGCGTTCTTTAAATGTTATCTACGTCCGCATCGTATATCGTATATCTACTGCAAACGCGCAACGTACTTGATTATAACTGCATCCAATTAACTGCATACATTTTTCCTCGGTGCATCGATCGATCGTAAACGCGCGCTAACGTTGCGCCAGTATTGCACCATGTTACAACATAACAAAAAAAAATCTATATACAAGCTTACGCGTTCTAAAACGCTTCGTGTAGTGTTGCGTAACAGGAAAAAATAGGAAAAAATAGCGAAACAACCTGTGAAACAACAAAAAACCGCAAAGATCGATTGAACTCGAGACAAATTGAGCTCTCTGACAATTAGGTAGACTAATTCGCGATTGTGCTACGAGCGCGACGAACGTGTTGCCATCCTTCCCTCGGTTGCACGTTACACCTCATTCAATTGACAACTAAACGGATTACGGTGCAACGCTTGGCAAAGAACGGACTCTAGCGGTCGATGGATCGGTGGGTGGGTGGGTGTCGGCGAACCTGCAAATGCGACAGCACAAATACCTCGTAGTAGAACGCAGACGGCGACTCGGACCGGCGTGGCGTGGCGTGGCGTGGCGTGGCGAGTGGCGAGTGGCGGCGGCGGTGAATGAAACTCGCTTCCTCTCCCTCGCCCTCGCCCTCGCCCTCGCCCTCGTCCTACTCTTCGACGGTGCCCCTCTTCGAGTTTCACGTCGCCGGTCGCCGGTCGCCCCCGGTGTTTCCCACTACTACGTTCTTCCGATGCATCCTTGTTCCTCGCCCGCTCGAGCCGGTCCGCTGCATTTACACGCATTACGCACGCGATACATACTCGCGTGCCGCCGACGCCGCGCCGGCAATGCGTGGTGTACACATATATATATATATATATATATGTACGTGACGTATATATACGAGACGTACGTACAGTTGTAGACGCCTGAGTAACGCCCCGTGTTTTGATGCGATAGTCGATCACCATGCAAAAAGGATTTCGCGCTGTCCGGAACTCGATTATTTTGAACCTCCATCAGCTTCCGACTGGATTATCTTGCTTACCGTTTCATGATTTAGCTAGCTATTTCTCGGCAAAAGAGATTCTCTGGTTTGATATTGATTCATATTGTCATATGAATAAATGAATTGTGAAAAAGCGACTACAATTTGCAGGTTCGCATTATAGTCAGACTGTCTTTGTCAATATTTACATATCGTTGATATCTCAAGAAAGAGATGTTTCAAAGAGTTTCAGGAGTCACGATAGTATCTTAGTGTCGAGTTTATGCGTTTATAAAAATTACAGAGATCGAAGATAATGCGTTTGGAGGTCATAAGTAATTATACAGCACGTTTGTGTATTTTACGTTTCTTTCGTATATTTATGAAATAATAAAGTCTTTGGTATTATTTAAAATTATACTAGATATTTTTAAACACATGCGTGAAATTAGTGGTGGCTCGTCGATGACAAGCGTGTCGCACTGTAATGCGAATTTTCGAGTCATGTTTGCTTTCGCTTATACTACAAATAAAACTATGAATAAGACGGCGTAGGTGATGGACCTACACACATTGCGTAACTATTTTCTACATAACTACACCTGCACAAAATGTGTATTTTGTTACATCAGCAAAATCTTGCCTTGTAATCTGATATTTTTTTTAAGTTATTGCATAAGTTGCTACAATCTTAGAATTCGCCAATACTATAAAGTGGCAGTCCCAATTATGGGCTGTTTAAGATTTAAGTGATTTTTATAAAAATTTATTATCTATAGAATATATCTTATAAATGTGTGTACACACATACATTTCTAAAATCGTAGATGATACGTTTATTAATAATTAATTTTATTAACTAAAATTTGTAGACATAATATATTTATATACTACAAAAGGCTTGTACAAGCAATAATAAGATTTGGACTCAATTGAGAGCGTCACTTTATCCCTATAATTTCTTTATAATATTATACCCAAAATTAACAAGATTACAACGTTGCGACAATCATACTGGAAGATTGTATGAGATAATATCTATTGAATCGTTTTCGCTATATGATTATGTACAGATGATTAAAATTCTCGAAAATGAAAGATCCGTTAGTTTATGTGAAGTTGATGATTATTGGCAGAAATAAAGAAGTGATTCAATGTGTTTAATCAGCGAGATCGAATTTACATAGGATATTTCTTTAAATAAATATTTCTGTGCTGTAGAAAATACATAAATGCAAATCTGCACAGATGTAAATGCTAATTTCTTCTCGAGTAGTAAAGTGTGAAGCATATATAGAAGACGATTGGATCGAAAACAAATTCAATGAATCATAAATTGGAAATGTTTGCGAGTAGTCATTTGCAGCAGGTCGCGATCGTAGAGGTACAATCGAATCTCTCGATCCCGCGTGCCATAGCGTACACATCTCGTTATGGGTGACAGCGTGAGTGACCCTCTTTATATACGCAATAAATCAATTACCGTTTGTTATTAAGAGAAATCTACGCTTAATCAAATTATGTTACTTAACCCGAGAGTCACGGTGGTAAGCAAGACAATATTCGTGCGATCAGACACGACGCCCCAAATTTTTTGTTTTGCAGCCACTTAACCGTCCGTGGGATCTCGCGACTAGTCTCACTCCCATCGATTCTCCACAGGGTATTGCTAATGCTACGTTTTCTTCAAATTGAAAAAATCCATTATTTACTTACGCGTCACGATTATGATTTCAAGGTATTTAGGTATTATAATTAAGCACAAAATATCACATACACACACACACACACAGAGAGAGAGAGATATGTTAAAACAGATGCGTTATAAAACAGATAAATTACAAATGATTAATTTTAATTCAAAGAAAATACTGCGACGGGAACGAAGTACTTTCAATTTATCTTGTTTCATACATTTTTTTATATAATGTATTTAGAAATTGCAGTGTATTTAATTATAATAATTTTTTGAAAAAAGTAACATCATTATCCAACGGAATAGTATGTATATTTCTGTTTTCTCCCCTTTGTTAGTACCTTCTTACGACTGTATATACAGCTTTCCGCTTTCTTTACATATATAATGGAAAACAGCGTTTGGCACATTGGTTGTCGGCATCGTAAACAAGGCGAATATTGCATCTAGGCACACAACTGTGGTTGGTCGTGCGGTTCTTAGAGCTTAGGGTTTACCTTTCTGTGAAGAGTTTAGTAACGGGGACTATATGCCATGCTGCTGTTTTCTCGTTGAGACGAGGCAAGGTCTCGACATTTGCTGAGTCTACTTTGTGCCCGACAGTTTAATACGGCGACGATACGGGTGTTGCTATGGCAAGCGCGGTTGCATCGTCGATTCGAGCACCCCAGCTTATTCGATAATTTGTAAATCACACAGACATTATCGTACGCGATACACCACCGCGTCGCTATAAATATGTTGTGAAGATATTGTCACGAAGTGTCATGACCCCGCTACACGGGATAAGAGTTATAAAAATGTATAGAGTGTCGCAGTTCATAAAAATGCGCATAAAACTGAGTGCATGTGATACTCGCGACAGTCATACGAAATTAGCATACATAAACTATTTATGCACAAGTGATATTCCAACGCTATATAAATGATCTATTGTGTGCAATTTATCGTCAAAAATTGTAGCAAACATGGCGAGAGAATATTCATAGCAAGGGGAACTTTGAATAAACAGGCTTGATTAAATCTCGCGAAACCTTCGGGCTAAATGTTCATTGTTCAACGAGCGCCTTTCTCGCGAAACATTAAAGGCAAATCCACTGATTGAAACTACGCACAATTTACCGAACGTATTTATTCAGTCGTCAGCTAATAAATTCAATTTTTGTTGAAGATACCATCTGGTCGTTTTTCTTTGCGTATCTTTATCACGATCTTACACAAAGAAAAGGAGTAATATAATTCGAAATGAGCTTCTACTGTGTTCTTGTTTTAAATTTCAAAACAGACACTAAATTCATTCACTAAATTCAATGCAGTTTTTTATAATTTACAATAAATAACTGCACAGGAAAAAAGGATGTTTTCTTGCTCGATTATTTATGAATTAAGATGTTAAGCGTGCAAAAATGTTATCGTGCATATTCGTATGAATTAATAAATAAATTTCAAGTCGATAAGACAGAGCTGTGCTCGTCGAATATACTCAAAGTAGCAACGCGCAACAACGTTATTTTTCAGACATACTTACAAACTTACATCGTCATGCAGTCATATAATTAGCTACAATTCACATAACGAGGTACGTTTTTTTTTTTATTACGTTATTACGCGCGCGTGTTATTACGGACTGAATGTTCGTTTGAATGGACGCACACGATATTCATTTACGATAATTTATCTATACGAAGCATTCTTTTCAATATAATGACCATAATAAACGTGACACACACTTGGCGCCAGTGATCGCTATACATTATAAATAATGACTATAACTACTACATTTATTGATGACTACGTAAGCATTATTTGCGAAAGCCATCGTCATACTTTTCAGAGATCATTATCTCAAGGTCATCATCCATATGTAATTTTTCGTGAAATGCGTTCGCATTATCCTTTAACAAGTATGAAAATTAATACTTTAAGGTGTTTCTTTGATTAAACTCAAACTCCTTAAGAAATGTGACGTCAAGCGATATCCGTTTAATGCCATATAAAAATTAATATAATACTACGATTACATCAATGGCATTTACAAAGTGTAACTTTGTGTGTTCTTTTTTATTCCAGGACGATAGACTGTCTAGATATCGCCGAGAAAGCAGGATCATCAGCATAGTGAGGAGTGTGCACTGATCAGTGTCAAGATTCCCTATCAACTCGCGAATCTCGAATCGGTGTGCGCGTTCGGCACACTTAATGGAGCCGTCTGGTGTGATGACCTGCTGGTGGTGCCAATCTTTCAGCATAGTCGGTTGATATATCTCATACGTGCGTGTGCGGTCTCTTCGTCTCGTGGTACGCCCACGAAGTCTCTCGCACGGTTACGAAGGGGTCAAACGAAGCCGACAAACGTATTACGGACAACGTCAAGAGAGAGAGAGAAAAAAAAAAAAAGAAAGAAATCTCCAACGTCTTCGAGTGATCGTCGTCGAACTTGTGGCCGCATTGACTCTCGAGCCCTCCATTCGCTCATACGTTCGCAAGACAAATAGGTAGAAACGACGTTTGAAGAAGCTGCTGGTTGGCCGCATCGACGGTGAGAAGAGATGCGAGCGAAACGTGACACTTTACCCCTTTTACTCTGAATTCGCGGAGAGCGCGTAAAATCATTTTTCCCCGTCGGGAAAGGAAGTTTCATTCTTCCAGTGAAGATGAAGTCTTCGGCCACGTGTTATACGCGCAGACTTCGTGGCGCGACGTTCGACGAGGACAAGCAAAACATCGTTGCAACCTCCTTTTGGGAGGTTAATTCTACTACCTGCCACTATCACTATCCGTCGTCGAGTTGTGGCGCATTCGAGAAAGACGATGGCGTATCGTTCCTGCCGTCATCGGCATCGACGACGGCGTGCGATCTTTGCGAGCGTCTTCGCGGACAAACGGGCTATGAGTCGGTAAACGCGATATGGACAGGAGATAGCCACGCGGCTGATCGATCGAGACGAAAACGCGACAAAAATGATTTATTGACAAATGATTCGAAAACGACTGTTGGAAAGCGAGACAGAACTTTGAGGTGCGATAGAACTCCGCTCCACGAATCGTCCGCGAAATGTGCTTCGAGTGTAGTGCGATGGATTTTCTCGATTAGATTCTACAGAGATTTCAAATCGACCGAATGGCGGAGGCTCCTCTGGATTGTTCTCCTGATACTCACGATACCCGACCTCGCTGCAGCGCACGACACCGATCTTGACAACGGAGGTGAATATGTTTTTTTTTTCCTATATTCGCATAAGTAACGCACTTTAAGGCCAGTATTCGTAGTCTTATTGCAACACCGTCTTAAATGATGTCTTAATTGTTGTTAATACGACTCTCTGATTAGTTCGTAACTTCTTAAGATTGTATTTAAGATAATCTTAAATGTAAGGGCGGAATCTAAACGGTTGCTCAGGATTCGATATGATCTTCAATCAGAGAGCCAATACTATCATCTCCAATCAGAGAACCATATTAGCATCTTAAGGCATTGCTTGAGATGGTCTTAAAATTCACAACAGACTAGAGATATCGGCCTAAGAATCGACTATGAATATCGGTTTTTGTTTGTGACTTATAACATCTCAAGACTGTACTTGAGACTGTTTTAAATAAAAAAAATTGACTATGAATACCAGTCTGAATCGATCCATATCTTAAAAAGATCATTATTACGCTTATTGATATCTAAATTTTTTTCGTAAATAATTTAATATTTCAAATTGTCATATGTGACAAAGAATTAGGTTTGGTAAAATTGGTTTGTAAAATACACTATACATATATCGATCATACAAATTGATCCATGAAAAAGAAACTCAAATGCTCATTTAAAATTTAAAATGTGGATCAACAGCTGGCCATCACGCTATTGACTGAACTTCCACATTATGTTTACGTAAAGCTTCACAAATCTTCAAACAACGAACCATCACGAAGCGCGAACCGTATTGTAAGATCATGTATAATGCAGCACAAAGCAGGTCAGACGAAACTTCTTCGCTTAAAAAATTTCACGATTATGATATGCGCATATTTAACCTCTGTCGAGCTAGCAGGACCAAATGAGCAGAATTGAAAAAGACCTTTTGAACTATTTAGTGTTCATTTTGTGCTAATTTGTGCTACAAAAAACAATTTTGTATCATGTGCCGTTTAGAAGAAGCGTGTGGCCAGCTTAATATCAAGCTAGTAGAACTACGATAAAAAAGAAAAAAAAGAAAAATAAAATTAGATTTGAAAAGTACTGATTTTGTGCTAATTTGTGCTATCAAAAAGAAGTTATAATAATATATTGATCCATTCCTCAAGAACCAATCTCTAACTGAATTGTACACTATTATTGATTCTACTCGTGGCGAAGGGTACTTTGCTCTTGAACCTAATAGTATACAATTCAATTAGAAGTTGGTTCTTCAGGAATCGATCAATATATTAACCTCTTTTTGATAGCACAAATTAGCACAAAATATCAGTACTATTCAATCTAATTTTATTAATTTTTTTTTTCCTTGTGGTCCTGCTAGCTTGATATTAAGTTGGCAGCGCCACATGTTTCTTCTAAATGGCTTACAGTACACAGTTTTTTGTAGCACAAATTAGCACAAAATGAGCTCTAAATAGTTCAAAAGGTCTTTCTCGATTCTGCTCATTTGGTCCTGCTAGCTTGACAGAGGTGCGTATTTATTCCAAATAGGAATAGTCTGGATTTTGTTATAACTTATCAATTCTGATGACTGACTGGAGCAAAATTTCATTAAATGAAAAAAGAAAATCTTGCTCCAGTTTATTTATATCAAACTTCAGTTTACGTATGTACTGTTACAATTATGCATCTACACTACTTGAACGTTGAAGAGACATAGAGATTACATTCATCGATATGTAAATCGACATATGTCACAACGATTCGTATACAGAAAGAAACCGGCTTTCATGCGACAATGCAGACTTTTCATGTTACATTTGTAATAAAGTGACTTTTTTTTACGTTTGTGACAAATGACATTTGTATCAAGTGACAAATTAACGATACAGATACGTAGTACGTAACGTAACACGAAAACGAAATTGACAATGTATATCTTAGTATGTTTACAGATAACATGTGAAACTGTATTCAATGGTGTAACAGTTTCTCTATTAACTTTATACACTACAAATCAAACATAAAAGTCAGAAATTTTTATATTTATTCATTTGCATTTAAATGTGAACAAGTGACCTTTTGAAGGAAATTTAATTCTTCGGCGATAACTAAAGTAATTCAAGAGGAAACTATAGATGTCTCGTTTCTATATGTATAACGAGATTTTAATTATGATTTAGATTATGGCTTTATACGTAATAACTAATGAGTCTATTATCGAACAAATTATCCTTTAGGCCATGTAATTCGTAAAATCACACACGACGTTTCGATCCATTTTCACTGTGCATTCGTTCATTTATTTGTGAGAATTTTTATTGATTGCCGATATTACGTTACACGAAATATCGTAAAACTTCTCTCATTAAAATCTGTTATTTAGTGACAATTAATCAATGATTGATATACGACACCTCTTTAAGCATTCTACACGAATATAAGAAGAACATCGTTAATTGCTAGCGAAAATGATTTAGGATGATGCAGGATTACATTACGCTCGTTAGGAAAGAATAATGCTAAAGATATTGAGAAGAAAGAATGAATCGTGGATGAGCATGTTTTAAAGTTGCATCCGAGAGGTTATCGCGACTGGTTTTATATTCCGTTCTCCTCAGATTCTACCGTTCATTCCTAGAAGTCTGAGTTCTCCTACGCGTCGTAAGCTTGCTTTGCGATATACAAAGCGACGGCGAGTCTCGACGATGTGAGCGCGTCTAAATTGGTGTCTACAATAGAGCAGTAAGCCTTAAGCCGTAAAAAATTAATCAACTATAGTGAGGAGAATAATCGATTATGATTGACCAATTTCTTACGACTTAAGGCTTACTGCTTTATTGTAGACATCACGTAAGAAGTACATTCTTGTAATTGCAACTCGGTTCGTATGTAATTTGACCTGAGAAGTTGGGAAGATTGCCGATTCTTTAATTACTATCCTTTGCCGGTCTGAGAAATGATGTATCGATTAATTATAATATCTCGTTTTCATGATCGATGTGAGTTAAGGTAGAATTTCTATATAATATTAAGGGGTTAGACTGGTGTAAAATTTTTTTGCTTTAAAAAGTAGTTTGTCTGTAGAATATGGAACAAAAGGTCTTAAGTATAAATAATTCGAGTTAGTTTCTGAGTTACAAAGTCTACAAAATTTGAATATATGAATATATATTGAATATTTGAATATATATAAAGATTATGTTGTAGAACTTTAAATGCTATAAAGATTATGTTATAGAACTTCAAATGTTTTTCTTGAAATCTTATTTTTCAAAATGGTGTCAAAGGTTTCTCAGGATGTACTCATCCTGGAGGATTTTTACAATATCATTATTATTTTGCAAGATATTAATAAATTAATTAATAATATGTATGAAAAAAAAGTCAAACCAAAAGTTAAAAAAATTTTTTTTCAGTCAAATTTTAATAAATTTTGAATAAGCTCGGTCAATGCTTAAGGAATACAATACAGTAATTTTTTTTTGTTTTTATTTCATATGATCTAATATAATCATCGGTACCAATGACTGATGCGAAAAAAATTGATTTTTAACATTTTAATAAATGTGTTAAGATTATTATTTTTCCTTTTATTTTGCATATTTTATACCTTCAATGTGTACTGAATAAGATACCAAAACACAAATCTGCAGCTTTTTTATTTCTTTGGCAATCCATGCTTAAAAATTATTCATTTTTACGGTTACATCAGTCTAACCCTTTAATCGTTTCTACGGGATGATTTTACTGAAATATCTAAGAATTTAGCTAAAAATACATGTCTGAACATAATTTTATCGGATCAAAATAATTATATAAGAAACTCAAGCGTGAGCTATGCTATATAAAATATTCTATATTCTAGTTATCAGTTCGAACATTCTTCATAATTATTTTGATAGTTTAATAAAATTATTTTCAGATCTGTATTTAGTTAAATTTTTAAATACTTCAAAATTGTTCTTTCCACGTGTTAACGTTAAATAACAGCCGCAATGATGGCAAATTCCTTGTATGTTTTCTTTTTACCGAAAGAAATATGAAATCAAATCTAAAAACAATAGACTTAGTCTAAGTTCTTTGTTAAATAATTAGGGCGAAAAAATGACAAAGATCAGACACATCACTATATTATATGTTTGTAGAGTATCCGATGTATAAGGTGCTTTTTCATGCTGACGCTCGATGCTCACTTTCGGCATCAAAATAAGTCACGCGATAGAAATTGATGAATATCAAGCATCAATTTTGATCACGTGATCTATTTTAACGCTGAAAATGAGCGTCGAGCGTTAGCATGAAAAAAGATACCTTATATTTCGTCCCCAGAAATTATATAGCGTATTCCGAAAGTCATTAAACGATTCACATGTTTTGGAATGTCTTTCAAAGATTTCAAGATGTCAATCATAATCGGCAATGAAACTGAAGAAATGTAGGCAACAGTCTACGCTTCGTCAGTTTCGGGACACGATGACGTATGTCGATGGCTACCATTGGCAAATAAAATTGAATGTACAATGATGAGTAATTAATCATTTCGTCAGACTTGTCAATAGGCATTATAAACATGTACCTCGGGCAGCAAGATTTTAGGGATCACAAATATCTAACATACTTTGTTGATTTTAAGTGTATATCAATAAAAATGAAAGTAAATTTGCTCTATTATATATATATATATATATTTGAAGAAAAAGAAAATGTAATAAAGGATAATATAAAATAAAAATTATGATTTATAATTCAGTAATTAATTTTCCAAATAAATTTTTTTAAATAATAAGACGAATTTATTATTAATGGATATTTTTCGAAAACACATTGTGTAATATTGACGTGCAAATGACTAGTCATTTTACATATATAATAATAAACACGAAAGTATCAAAATATCATGCTATCAATCAACCTTTTTAATTCTAAAAATTATACATTAAAATTATACATTAATTAAGCTTGTAACAAAGAATATTTTCTAACTTGTACCAATATTACAAAGCGTTCTTAACGCTGGATACGTTTTCTCGAAGCATGCATATTCTGAGGACAATGAACTCATTTTACGTTACAT